TGCTTGGAGCAGGGGACACTGCATTTGATTGCGCCACTTCAGCTCTGCGGTGTGGGGCAAAGAAAGTTTTTGTTGTGTTTCGTAAAGGCTTCAGGAATATACGAGCAGTACCGGAGGAAGTAAGTAAGCAATCCATAAAACAACTAGTAAAGATCAAATTATTAATAGAGGGTCATAATCGAAAATAAGATAATTATCTGATGAAGAAATTCCCCATTGCTATGGAACCTAAGGTTGAAGATTTCTGTCTTCTGGGTTGTTGCGTTGTGTAGTCTGGTCGATGTTAACCAATGTTTCAGAGGTCATACTGCCTCCGTCATCAGGGCGATGAATGAACCTAAGGTTGACCGACTGATTCTTAATGTTCTTAATGGTGTTTTCTCAACTCAGTCATATAGCATAAAATATTGTGAGATGATTTGCGAATGATGAATTGGAAATTGAGAAGTAAGAGGGAGGTCATGATCTGTTTTAAAGTACTTTCTGAGAAAAATCATAAAAACTTTATATCTGGCTACTAAATTGAGGTTTGAACACTGCCCTCCAAAATGTAAAGCAATAGTGCTATCTACTGAACTGCAATGCATGGTTAAATATAGGTACAGAAGAAAGTTTATCTCAGGAACTTTATTGTAGTTAATATTTGATCTACAATTAAATCAGTAGTTTGGATGTCAATGTTGGTTTTCTGGTGCTGAAGATGGAGGCAGTATGTTTCTCTGAAACAGTGGTATCTACCTACAAGTTCACTGGACTATTGCCCAGAATACCAACATTGATATTTTCATTGCCTTGAGAACCTCAGATCAACAGCTGTTCTCTGGAATGAGTCTTGCCTTCGTAACAATCTTATAATTCCTTAACATTGAAAATCATGTTCAGACGATTCAATTTCAACAGTGTAGCAGCCATGTAACATTTACCTACTTTATGTTCAGACTATATAGTAGTACTTTGCAGTCAAATATCATAGCAAATGTGTAAAATTGTTCTTTAAAGTGAACTAAAGTTGAATTTTGTAGTATATGTTAATGCATGGGCCTGTGACTGTCAAATGCTATAACAGTTAGGTTAAATACATCAAAATAAGTGATGCGCTGTCATGTTATTCCAATTACTGTAATTTTTTTCTACAGGTTGAATTAGCCTTTGAAGAAAAATGTGAATTCATCCCATTCCAGTCACCAAAGAAAGTAATCCTTGAACAAAATAAAATTGTGGCAATAGAATTTTACAGAATGGAACAAGATGAAAATGACAAATGGGTTGAAGATACTGAACAAATTACAAGACTGAGAGCTAACTTTATTATATCTGCTTTTGGTTCTGGATTGTATGACTTGGAGGGTACGTAAAGGTTTATGTATCACATGTCATTCTCTGAGTTTCTTTTGGAGAAACCATGCTTAATTGTTTGAAGTCTCTGTCTTGTATTGCCTAGGAAGCATTTCCTTGTTTGGTAATTAACCCTACCGGACATCCACTGTCTGTTACTAGGAGTTTGAACATGATAAGCAGGTTGAGAACCATATTTACTATTTCTGTTGGGTGGCTTTAAAAACATATATGTAGGTAGTTTTTTTATCTTTATGCAGCAGTGAGAAAATAATGTGTAGATTATATAGAGAAACAGGTGTTTTAACACTTGCAACATATGTGTAACAGATGCATGTAAAAGAAATTGAGAATTCCAGTAGTCTAAATCAGTGGTATTCAACCTTTTTTGTTCGCGTACCCCCAGATATAATTTCTCTTCAACTTTGTACCCCAAAAGTTGTTGGCATATAATTCAAGTTATACATATTATATAATATACATTTAAAATAAATTAAATAAATTACATTACTGATTATTCAGTGTTTTTCATAAATAATATATATATTTTTAAATTTCACGTACCCCCTAAGATGTCTTCGCGTACCCCCGGGGGTACGCGTACCCCAGGTTGAATACCACTGGTCTAAATTATGTGTTATTATATTGCTGGTATTATAGTAGATATTGATTCAACTTGAAGATACCTTAATTCAGTCTTTGAACAGAATGTGTGAGGTTTTCTAAAGTGTGTTAGGACACAAATTTATGTTAGATTGATTGAATCATACTATATTAATATTCTACTTGGATGGAATCACAATTTCTGTTTAATTTTATGTGAATATCTTTATCACAATTTTTCTATAAAACATAATAACAACTCTGTAATTATAATGTGTTTTAATTTCATGTTACTCAAAATTAGCTACAGTGTTTGCTTAATAACCAACAAATTGTCAGTGTCTACAGAATGAGAGTTGAGTTTCTTGTATCTTCACATGTACAACATAAGGCAATATGATGGCTATCTCATACAGTTAATTAGGGTTTTGTTTTAGAAAAGATTTTATTCTCATCTGTTTTGCCACCATAAAGTCTTTTTAGTTAGAAGCCTGAAAATTCAAGACACAGGAAAGCTGAGGGCATTATTACCAGTGACCACAACAAAGATTTTTCTTGTCTT